TTTTGTACTTTCCTTACAATAATACATGTACAAAATTAGGAATCATCTCTTCTTTAGTTTATATCTGCAGTCCAGTGTGCATCAGATCCAGCCATTGCACCTCTCTTAGGAAACACATCATATTCCCTTGTTGTTTCCTTCTTAGTCTATTTCTAAAGTCCCCTTGTTTGCCTGTTTGCCTCCAGTTTTATTTTCCTGCAAATACATTCTTTAGACAGCTGCCAGAAAGCTGTATCTAAAATGCCAATCTGACCACCTCAATACCCTAAAGTAGTCTCAGGATAAAATGGAACCCCTGGCGACAGCTTTCAAGCCCATTTTGGCCTATAACTATGAAATATTTCCAGCCTTATGTCTTACTGAAGGATGTCTTACCAATACATATGGTACCAGCTTTGCTTGCCTGTACATCCAGCCTCAGAGAACTGCTTTCAGCTCCTGGACTTTACTGTGAGGCTTTGAAGTAGTTTAGGCAGAAGAGCACACAAAGCAGCCTGTGCTTATCTTAATGACTGAACAGATCAAAGTAACATGTAATATCTCTGAGCAGGCATAAAAACACTACTAGGAAGTTCATGTTGGATAGCCAGTGCTGCTTAGGTTGAGATGATAGTGTATGAGACTGAGCTTTGGGGAGCTCAGTCTGGAGCTCTAGTACTACATTTATTTCTGCTTAAAACACAGGCAGACGTGTCTGGCTATTGTTGTATGTAACAGCTCACTTCATTTAAACAGTAAACCTAGAGTCTACTTCATGGTGCTGTAATTGCTCTCTAAAAATATTTGAATTCCATCTTGAGGTACTCAGTTCTTAGTTATGACTATTAATTTTATCCCATTCTTACAAAGCAAGGAAAATACTTTATACTAATAACCATTGTCTATTTTCTTTGGAATTTTTCTTCTTCGAGAGGAAGGATTTTTCTTTTTGAACTTTCAGATGTCTCAAGATTTTGACATTATTCGTTTGTTCTGTTCCAAATGATTCAGAAATATTCATTTCTTTCAGACAACAAACAACAAAAGTGTTTTGGGCTTAGAAGACAAGGAAAAATGTGTTTAGCTTCACTTTGAAGGTCTTTAGAAAGAATTTCTATAACATTTAACACATAATAACATGTTGGAAGTGAAGAATAAACTCACATCTGGAAGGCAATTATCACTAAATTGCTGGATTCACAGCACACCTGTGTGACAAACTGCTTGCAGCACCTCCCAGTGTTTTAATAATCTCCAGAAGTTTCGATCACAGCTAATAAATCACAAGAGCATAGTGTCCAATATGGTTTTACTAAACTCTATGATATTTTATATTCCTATTCCATGTATATTGACCTTAGATACTTAGCAACTTCTTGCAAAATCGGGGAATACTATTGTATTTAGAATTATTATTGTGGAAAGTATTTCCAAGCTTTAAAATATCCTCACAGATCCTTGTCATTATTAGACCCAGAGTATGTGCTTAAAAATGTTCATTTAGAATTCTTGGCTCATCTTAACTCTTAAAGATGTCCCCTCTTGTTGGTGCCGCCTTCGTTAAGCAGCCCATCTGCTGTAACTCAAATCCAGTCTGATTTGCTGCTGAGAGTGAAAGTCCTGTGCGCCAGTCACACTGTGACGCTCAGTGGCTGTATTTCACTCAGTGCGGCTTGAGATACTTTCTGGGTGTGTATGATACAGACCAACAGCTGTTCCTCCGTTCCTCCAACACTGTCTCATCACATTTCTTTGAATAAGCTTTGAAACACTGAATTCATTGTCAATGTCCTGCAACATTTCTGTCTTAATTATGCAAAATATTTTCTTGCAAAACTTCATACACGACAATGTATGTTTACAGACATTCCCTAATTTAAAATGGCTTGCCCTGTGGCCTTCTGACTTTATGATGATGTGAAAGAGACACATATTTAGTGAAAATTATATTGTGAATTTTGAAGTTAAGTCTTCTGGGCTAGTGATATACATATGATTCTCTCTCCAGCTACATGAGAGTAGCAGCAAGTCGAAAGCTCCAGGTTAGTTAGAGATACACATAATCACGAGAACAACCCAGACTCCACAGTACATTGTGTCACCAGTGCTCTTTGAATACAGTTTTTAGTAATTACACCAAAGAGTAAACATTTTGTATTTGTAGTCTAATGGAAGTGTTCTGAGTACATGTAAATTGTGCTGGGCTAAGGTATGATGTTTGGTAGACTAGTATCTTAAATGCATTTTAAACTAGGATATATCATGTTTTATTCTTGCTTTCTTGATCATTTTCAAATCTCAGATCTATCACTCTTACTCACAGTGCAATGGGTTTGCACTCGTCTCCTCCGAACTTCAAGTTTGAAGCTTGATTGACAAGGCGATGGTGTGAAGAGGTGGACACTTTAAGATGTGATCAGGTGAAAAGGGTTTTCTACTGTTGAATAGGATTAAGACCTTGATTTTTTTAAAAGCATTTTTCTCCTGAAGAGTCAGCAAGGCACATTATAGTTCGGATCTGAAATGTTTCCCCAGAATCCAATGTCTTAAAAGGATTGACCCCCTCTTGGCATGATGGAGAGATTGGTCTGATGGAGACCGTCGGAGTGTTAGGGATGTGCTGTAGAAGGCGCTTGGACCTTGAACCACTTCCTCTTTCTCTTTTGCTTCCTATCACTAAGAGCATGGTTTTATTTGCCATGTACTCACTCTATGACAGACCTAAAACCAATGGAGTCAACTGGTCATGGACTGAAACCGCTAAACCATGAGCCAAAATAAATCTTTCCTCTTCATAGCTTTGTTTTTTCTTCAGTAGTTGTTAAACTGACTAACACAGCACCATGCTGGAAGCAGAGAGCAGCATTCACCTTCCGAGCTCAGCTTCCCCACTGTGAGGATGTAAATTTCTGTTCTTCATAAATAATCCAGCTTCAGGAATTGTGTTACAATGGCACAAAGCACATTAAAACCCACACTAAAACTCTGTGGTAGAATATAAAGTGTTTTCAGCTCTGAGCTTCAGGTATTCTCATTTCCAAATGCGTTAGTTATGTTTCATCACTAACTGATCTTCAGGTGAACCTAGCAGTAATTTAAAATAAAATTCCTGATGCTTGAGATGTAGGTTCAATTATCTTATGCGTGCTGCCAAAGTGGTGCCGCTTTTGTGATGGTCTCTGATGCTTCTTTCAGGCTAAAATCTGTACAGCATAGTGGCTAAGCCTGTGGCTGTGAAACCACAGCTGTGTAGGTTTGTGCTTGGGCCTGTATTTTCTGGTTATATCCCTTGGGCAGCTCATTTAACCTCTTTGTGCTTCAATTTCTTAATATGTAAAGTGGGAATCAAATAGTACATGAATCTTAGGATTCATTCTCAAAATTCATCTTAAGGATCAAATGAGAGAAACCCTTAGGACGGCTGGCAAGCGAGTACAGTTAAAGTGTTGACTTAGGTATGCCCTGAATTTCAAGAGTGAAAATGTCAATATCAAAGCTTTGTAAATCTCTTTGAGGTGCTGAAACACTTTTGTATTTTGAAGATAATTTTTGTTTGATATTATGTATGATTCATTTTAATGACTTTCAAACCATAGACAGGATATAGGCCTAAATCACATACTTTACATTGCATAATTCTCTGTCTTAGGTGGTTAGTTCTTGAAGGGAATAAAATGCTGGATTATTTGGTGGTGATACTACTTGGTACTCCGTGTGATGGAGATTGATTGGGGTAGAGGAAAATGTGTACAATTTTTCAGTGGAAAATGGCTTGAATGATTTGTTTTAAGATAATTTTTAAAAGAACTTAGAGTTATGAGAAATCGTAAGGACAACTAAAGGAGAATAGGAAGCCTGTGAAGCAGACAGCAGGATCCGCTGGTGCCATCATGGATCAGCAGGTGTGTTTCTTTGGGGTGACAGAATTCCCTCTGGACAGAGCTGATGCAAAGGATATCGCAGTGGCAGCTCAGATGCACGAAAGGGATCACAGCCTTCCCTGCCTTGCTGTCTACCTTGATGGAAATGAGTGAGGTAAACGTAGAAATTTAAATCAGCATTTTTGATTTCCCGTGTACTTTTGGACATTCTTCTTGCTTCTTTCTTTCACTTCTTTTTTCTAGTCTGGAAAGTTACAGTGGCTCGTGCCCTGCCCACATAAGCTTCTTGTGTTCAGGGGATTATGTTTGCATACTCTTATTGTCTTCATCACTGGGGCAAATTACCTGACACCCACAACATAAAGGAGGAGAGGTTCATTTTGGTTCATGTTTTTAGTCCATAGTTGGCTGGACTTATTTTTCTAAGGCAGAAAGAGGATGGTGGAAGGGTCTGGTTGGGAAAGCTGCTCGCATCATGGTGGTTGGAAGGAGAGAGAGCAGGGAGGAGTGGGGAGGGAAATATCTTCCAGGTCACGCCTACAGTGACTGGGATCCGGCCACCTTCCCAAAACCCTCTCTCTGAGCCCAAGAGGCTTTAAGGGATATTCAAGACCTAAACCACAGTACTTGTCAAGTGTCTGTGTGCATGTGTGTGTGTAGTTACATCTTGTCTTTAAGAAGAAATAGCAATATTTATAAAAAGAAGCCATATTACAATAAAAAGTGAGATCTCTCAGAGTCATTCAATATTTAATGTGATGTATGATAATTAGATATTAGTTTATTTAATCGACAAGCTTTGAAATACTTTTTGAGTGTCTAGAGTATGATAAGTGCCAGATGGAGGGGAAATCTTGATAAGGAGCTAAATAAAATCCTTGTTTGTAAGAAGATTGGTCTGGTGGAGACATAGCCATGAACAAGTGGCTGTAAACAAAGTGTTAGGTGCTCTAGAGGGGTTCACAAAACACAGGAGAGACCAACTGCATGATTATTCCTAATTATGAAAGGACTTTTAGCATGATTCATAAGTGCCTAAATATACTGTCAACATATTTTTAAAAGTAGTCCTTATTATAATAATGTAAGCATTCTAGCAAAGCCAAGAAAAATTCCCAATAATGAATAGCAAGGCAGAAATTGCTATAGCCTTTTACTCAATTTATTAAATTCAATTTAGCTCTCTGATACATTGCTAGCCAGAGAACAAAACTTCATGCAAGTGCACGGAACAGGAAGATGTTCCATTAAGTGTGAACTAATGATCTTTCTAAAACAATCGTTGTTATTGTCTTCCTCATTTTTCTTTTTGCTGAAACACAGTACCTAGCACCTACAGCTTCAAGGTGCATAGTTTTATTTTGGCTCACAGTTTCAGTCCACAGTCAGCTGGCTCCAAAGCAGCCCAGCATGGTAGAGGCCCAAAGCGGAGGAAAAGCCGCTCACATCCTGAGGAGCAGAAACCAGAGAGAAGTGAGGAGCTGAGAATGGAGATATTCCCTTCCGGAACACACATGCAGTGGCCTGCCTCTTCTCACCAGACTCTGCCTTCCAATGGCTAGTCAGTGAGCAGCATCATGCCCACAATTCAGTCATCTTGCAAAAACTCTGGCTCTGCATGCATGAAGCCTTGGGGGACATCATCATATGAGCCATAATAGTTATAAAAATTGATTATCTGTTTGGAAAAAAAAGAAAAGAAAAGGATTCTTTGCCTCACATAGATGCCAGATCTGTTACAAGTGTATTAAGGGTCTAAATGTAGAAAGAAAATGAAAAAAAAAAAAAAAAAAAAAAGAACATGGAAGCCATTTTTAAGCATGACACAAAGGTAAAGGTTTTAAAAGCATATATTTGAGTAATGCAAATAAAACCTTAACATACATAAAAATAGATTATAAATAAAATATAGAAGATTGAAGGTATAGCTCAAGGACAGTGCTTGCCTAGCATTTACCTAGGTTCCATGCCTAGTACCAAAAAAAAAAAAGATTGAATAAAAATATGGGGAAAAATTTGAAACAAGAACTTCATAAAATGGCTTCTGCAAATTTATAGTACAGATACACCAAAGAACTAAAAAATCAATGTATACATCATAGTATAAATATTTATAAATACTGCTTATGACAAAGTACTAATGATTATTCATGCAGTGAGATTATGGGAAGTTTTACTTTTTTCTGTTCATGCTTTTTAAGTATTCTTCAGCAAGGCATGGTGGCATATGACTATAATTCCAGAATTTTGGAGGCTTCAAATGAAGTTCAGATAACCTTTTTATAAACTCTATAACTGAAATTTTTGTGACTGTGTTTCTCTGTGCATCTTGATATATTTTAATAAGACAGCAGGGTTGTAACCTGAAACAGCAGTAATGGTCACCTCTGAGTAATGAGATTCACATAGGCAAGTATTTTATCTAATCTAACAATCATATTCAGTGCGTTCATTATTGAGCTTGTATTAATTACTTTTAAGTACGTTGTGAAGTAATTTCTATCACATGGCATAGTAAACATGAGAGCTGCAATTCTCTGTATCTATCAGTTCTTATCCATAACCTACTTCCTCTTAAAATGAGGTCAATGAGATATTTCATTATGTAAATTATCTTTGATGAGCTCTGAGAAAGACTTGCCTTACATTAAATTCAATGACAAGGGAGTGATTTTGTAGCAAGATATGAGCATCATTGCTGAATGAATAATTTTTGTAACAAATTAATCATTTGTCTTGAACAGTGAAATATATGATTTACATACTTCATCTGATTTTAATGCTCATAGCAGTTCTGAAAGATGAGTGAGGTATTTTTGTATTTGAAGAAACTTAAATTTCAGGATATTAATTAAATTGTTCTTATATTTAGTCTATTTTATGTTATTATAACAGAATAACACAGATCGGACAATTTATAAAAAAAAGAAATGTATGTCTCATTGTGTTAGAGTCTGGGAACTCCAGTATCAAGGTGCTGGCATCAGGTGAAGGCCTTCTTGTTGCATCATAACAAGTCAGGGGCATGACAGGGAGGGAGAAAGGGAGAGGAAGGGGGAAAGAAAGTGGGGAGGGGGAAGAGAGGGGAATGGGTAGGGGAGAGAGAGAGAGAGAGAGAGAGAGAGAGAGAGAGAGAGAGAGAGAGAGAGAGAGACTTATAACAGAGCCACTTCTGTGATAACCAACTCAGTCCCATGCTGACAACATCAGACCATTCTTGAGTTCTTCATGGCCCATTCACCTCTTAAAGATCTACCTCTTAATATTACTGTGACATTTAAATATCAACATGAGTCATGAAGGGGATGATCAAACCACAGCATGCCCAGGCTGGAACCTCAATCATTCAGTAGGAGATCATCAAGAGAGACCAAATTCCATGCCCCTCACCAAATCACTTTACTAACATTTAAATATATTCATTTATTGGGTAAAATCTCAAACTTCAATTACATTATCCCATTCATATTCAAAATTCAACTTGTTTGAAGAGCATGTAAAGTACCCCTCACTATTTCCATAATATGATTCTTCACCTAGGATAGTACTGTGTACGTAAGCTGTAAAAGTCTCACAGACCACAGAGTGTGGTCTGTGGGTGAATGTAGCTCTTGTATCATTGTATTATGACCATTCTGATAATTCACAGGCACCCTATTGCTGTATGCTAGACATATCACATAAACAACACACCAGTAATCCATTAGGCAAATGAGAAAATCGAAGCTCAGAAATGTGCCCATGAATGGTAAAAATGGGACTGAAATTTAGCTCTATCTGACTCCAGACTCTACATTGTCTAACTTTTCCTCCCTTGGTCTGATCTGTGGTTGAACTGTACAGAAGAAATTATCTTTCAGGACTGACAGTGAGTTTCATAGCATGAGCTTCTGTTGGGGAGAAGATGGTGTGTTCATTCATGGTGATTTGGCCCAGTGCCCAGGGAAGGTTCACATAACTAGAGAAGTCTAACTTTGCCTAGGCAGATGGAAATGTCTGGACATTTTATACATATATACATTTCATGCTATTAATAATTTCCTAAATCTCCTTAATTTTGATCATAAGACCCAACAACAGCAGCAGCTGTCAGGAAAAACATCATAGTCTTCTTTCAAGTTTGTAATGAGACCTCTACTCTCCTGTTTCCTATCTAGAAACTGGAGTTTTTGCCCATTCAGTACAGAAGGATCCCTTAATAGTTCAGGTTAAGATGACTCTAGATGCTTAACTAAATACCTTAGGCATTTTGGTTATTGTTGCTATGACCTATAATAAAAATAACCTTTGTTGAGTCACAGATGGAATTAGAGTTGAAATCAGGCTATGAGGAAATAATAGCTGTATATTTTACTTCTTTTGACAATTAAATAGGCTTAAAGGTTGCAGTGTTAATAAAATTGGACAGTACGTGATAAAAGCTGTAATATTTGGGTTCAGTCCAGTGTTAATCATGTGGGCTGATTTTGATCACCTGGGACCAGTGGTAAAATGTTAGTGTGCAAATGTGGAAGCTCACAAAATGTTATGCATTAATATGGGTAAGTTAAATGATAGACTGTATAGAGTTAGAACAAAATCCAACTGTGTATTTACATGTACATGTGTATATCTTTCAGAATATTCATACATATATGCATAGATACTTTCCATATCTGTGTCTGTACATGCATTACACATATATAAGCTTGTTTTATTCTTCTTGAGGCATGGTTTTGCTAGGTAGCCTGGGCTGGCCTAGAACTTGCAGTGATCTCCCTGGCTCAGCCTCCTGAGTACTAGGATTATAATTGTGCACCATGTCCCGCTCATAAGCTTCTAATATTAAGTAATTTTTAAAAATTTGCAGGTGTTGTTTTTATAACTTGCAACTCACAGTTTAAAAGCTGAAAGGGGATCAGGGACATAGTTTGGGAACAAGCACATGCTTAGCGAGCCACAGTCATGAGTTTAATTTCTGGTTAAAAAAAAAAATCTGAAAGGCACATAGAAGCATTACAATTAGGATGACCTCCCAAATCACAGGCTTGTAAATCATTAAATAAACCAGCATTAAGAATCTCTTTCATCTTTTCAGTTTCCTCCTCCTCCTCTTTGACTTTTTCAGAAGAATAGAAGTAATGAAAGATCAAAATGTTTTAAAGAAGAATGTGTTCCCTTTCTCAATTTAATGTTTAGACAGGCTCTTGAGACTGTATTTGAGCAGAGTTACTCATCACAATTTTAGGGTTGAAACTTTAAAAATCTTACCAACATAAACAGTTACTGATTTATAAATTACAGACAGTCACAAATGCTTAGTCCTCATCTCAAGGACTGAGTCCTATTACTGCTAGAGAAGCCATCATGCTCATGCGTGGGGTCAGGAGGGAATGTTCAGAGTTTCTCTGGATTTAGGAAAGGAGAAAGGGAAGAAACTGTACAAAAACAGTGTAGAAATACTTTCGCAGATTAGATCTGTCTGTGAACCCAAGTATTTCTCAAACAAAACATTTTTTCTTCTTCTTTGTAGATTTCATGTGACTGCACCAACTTCCCACCAGTTCTCTCTCTCCCCTCCATTTTTCTCCCTCTCTTTGCTCCTCCCTTTTTACTGGGATGGAACTGTAGAGCCCTGCACTCCTCTCACCTACACTAAGCCTGTGCTCTACTGTGAGAGGTAGTGGAAGAATTGTGAGACGTGACACAGAAGTACAAGAGCTCCCAGAGCCACTGCCCCACTCTGGTGGGCTTGTGGAAGGACACAGCACGTGAGGCTGCAAAGCTGGGACCAAAGAGAGGGAGAGACAGGGTGGAACTGGGAATAAACTGCCTACTTGATAATTTGCCTGTATCTGATAATATCTCAAGGCTCTACTTTTAAATTTTGAAGGAGAAAAAATTACCCATTTGAACATCCAGTTCTTCTCCCACAGGAAGACTGACTTCTGCTTATCTCCTTACTGGGATATCAAGGCTGGGGGGAAGAGAATACTCCTCATCCTATTCCTGCAGCCGTTTCTTGCTTCCTGTTCTTGTGCCACAGTGTAATTCTTCACATGCATCTGCAGTATATTACAATCGCTTAGAGCATTAGAATATACAGGAATCCCATTAGTCTCTTTTTTTGTGTGAACCTCATCTCAGAGGGAAGTTCTTGAATTTTCAGAGAAAATGGTGGCAGACCATGGACAGAAACCCTTTCCTGGGTCTGGAACATTAACTAATAAAATCTATTACATGAAAATACAGAAAGTAAAAAATAACTATGGGCTAAAGTGAGATATTTCATTACCAGTTTTGCATTCCTAACATGTTGGGCTTTTAGGTCAATTGTTTTGCTGTTATTGTTGCAGATTTTCTACCCTAAGATTGGTGCATAGTGCCAGGAAAGTTAGGTAAATGCTTCATCTTATTCACATCAACCTCTCAATTTTTATTTTTGCCTTTTTATTTCAAGTGTTGCCTTGTTTCTCTCAAGGCTTCTCATTTTTTCCAGGAAGAAAGTTGGTAATGGGTGGTGAAGTTCCTATTTCTCTTACAACTTCCTTCTCCTTTAGAAGGGAGCTGAATGTTGCTCAAGGGACCAGGCTTTGTTAGATCTTGGCTCCAGGAACTAGCTTGCTCTGTCCTGCATCAATTTGCATGAAATAACTTGGCTATAATTTCACGTAGTAGGGTAATGAAGTGAAACAACTAAATTTGCATTTACAGTAGGCTCTATTTCTGGACAATGCCCATGGTTTTACATACCAACATCCTTTTTATATGGCTTTTACTTGAGATGGATGGATTTGTGATCTGGGCTCTCTATTAACCCTTGACATTGATAGATCTATCTGTTCAAAAGTTATGCCACCACGGTGGTTAAGTATCAGGCAAATTATGTTCACAGAGTACATAAAGATACCTGAAAACCCCTTCAGCTATACGCATTAGCGTATTAATTGCATTTTATACAAACAATACAGTGTAGCGCTTAATAACCCAGATTACCTTCAGTGGTGATCTTTCAGCCTTCTGAAAGGTCATGTGAATGGCCAACTGTATGACTGTCATCAGAGACTCAAAGGATCTCCTGATCTAAACAAAGGTAAAGAGCCATGAATTGGGTTGTTCAATGCCACATTTAAGCCTTCTCACTAAAGCTACTGAATTTTGTCTCTGTTTCATTTGGGTGCATTTCCTCATTGATTTTCTTTAATTTATAGTTTAAAAGACTCAAGTTGACAGAATGCTTTTGTATCATGTTACTTTATGTGCTATTGATGTACTTGGGACCCTAACTGGGTAAAAGCAGGCCACAGAGAAAACAGATCCTGTTTTGTGGCACCAAACCCAGGGTCTCAAGCAAGTGTATTGAGCTACACCCACAGGCAACCCGGAACAGCAAATTGTATGTTAGAACAAGTTGATTTCTGTTGTGGAAAAATTGTGAGCTCAGCTCCACCACAAAGGTCACTTAAGATTTCTCTTATAATTTCTTTGAATTATAGTTTCCTGATCTGTGTATTGGAAAGGGAATGTACTTCATAAAGTAGTAAGTAAGATTACATACTGTTAAACACGAAAAGGCCTGCCAGCCACAGTTTCTGATACTCAAGAGATACAATAAATATGACTTCTCTTTTTTTTGTATGAAACAGTTGGGGTTGGCTTGATCTGGTAAAGTTACACTAGCTTCTAGGACCATACCCTAATGATATTTATAATATTTACATGGGTTGATCTCCTGTTTTTGTGCTCAAAACCCAAATCCTTTAGACTGCAGCTCTTAAACTAGCAAAACTTTCATTCTGCAAATTTATCTTTCTCTTACCTCATTCTGTCTTCTCCTTTAAATTCCAGTCCTTGAGATGAGGACTAAATTCCACTTTCTGCAAACCTACCACCTTTCCATTATCCACAGGCAGACTCGATTCATGGTGATCTCACTGTTTTCAGAGACAAAAGAAGAAAAAAGGTATCAAAGAATACACTTAATATGTTTTAACTATGACAAATTTTACAACTTCATCACAAATTTTGCTTTGGGGAAAGGTTGACATAAAATGTTTGAAGAAACATACAACAGATCCTAAAGACAGACTATTTTTCACAATGAGAAGCCATTTTTTTTCAAGGTTCAAAGCAAAGGTTCTTTTGTCATCTGCTTGATAAGTCATTTTTGATGGATTTAACTTATTGAATTGTTCCGATGCCCTTTAGGAGCATCTGGGACATGACTGTATCAGTCAAAGTGATCCATGTCAGATCTTAATTAAAAAATTTAAAATGCCCACCTGGCACAGTACAGACTATATTTACTCTTTTATAAAAACTTTAAAATTAAATGCCTCTATAGTTCTACATTCATACTCCATAACAGGATGGCCAGAGAGGTACTTACTCTCAGAAAGGATTCTTGAAGTACTTTTAACCCTGGAATTAATCAAACTCTTTAAAGATTCTTCTTCTAACTTACACAGAGTTTTTTATTATTTTATTAAGAACCTTATGGCGATCCAAAAATAGTGGAGTAAAGGGTGGAAGCATATCCCAGCCTCTCTAGGACCTAGAATCGAAATATCTAGAAAATAACAACCTGGTGGAAAGAAAAGGAAGAGCTCTGAAAATTAAGTCTTAAGAGCCCATGGAGCAAAGCAACCCTAAGATTGACCCCACCCAGGAGGAAAGGAAGGGCAGGACTCAGCATTCACACACTCAGGACACTAGGCATGCGAGCAAAATAGGGCCAGGTTGTGACTCAATATCCTTCCTCTAGAGCTAGTAGTTCTATCACTTTAACCAATCACTCACACAGACACTAAAAGGAATTTTCAGACTCCTTTCTCTTTCTTCAGTTTTTGTATATTTTTTCTTTTTTTTGGCCTTTTATTCTTTCTTATATTTTTATTTTTCTTTTAATTAATTCAATTAACTTTCATTCCTTAATTAGATTTTTTGTTTTCTCTCTTCCTTCTCATTTTTCATTTTCTTTTTGTTTCAAAGTTTATTCTTTTTCCCTTTCTGTACCTTCTCCATTTTTATTCATTTCTATTAAGCTTTATTAATTTTTAGCTGTGCTATTGACTATGCTATTGATGCTGAATTCTGTTCTATTGTTAGTGAAATATAGTTGAAGCATTTAGCTAATACTCACTGCTTGTTAGTATTTGGCTTGTCTTTGGGTCTGTAAGAGTGAGACCATCATCAGTTCCCCGGATGGCTTTGGAAATAATCTTTTTCTTTTCATTTTGTTTGTTTAAATCAGATAATGGTTTAACAAGATGGCCAAGGGGATTCCTGCGATGCCAGGAAATAGAACAATGATACAGAGCTGAATGAAGCTAGTGAAGATTCTGCTGAGTCTGAGATGTTGTCTTTTGATGTCTGAATCCCCTAGTTAATTCCCAAGACATTGGCAAGATGCATTAAACAAGGCTTGTTTTGTTTTGCTGTTTTTTTTTTAAGTACAATATTACATCTACCGATACCATTTTATTTTTCAGAAGGGCATGTCAATGTCTCAAAGTAGGAAAAACATCAGATCTTAATGACAGGCTTTCTCATGAAGTGATATTGCATAAATCTGGAAACATTTCTTAGAATGTTTGGATTTGACAACTGAAAAAATATTTTGAAATTAGCAATATCAAACATTACAGGTGTATGGTAAAAACTTGATTCAGTGTACCTAAGATCAGAAGTAGCAGCATGATATGGCGGATAAGACAGGAGAGACCAGATTCAGACAGACCTAACCACTTAAAGTTTCTATACCTTAGTCTTCTCAGTGTTACTCGTGAGGTTTCTATCCATAGCACATTATTGAGTTCTTAACAAATCCTAGCAAATGATTAATTTAACTTCTGCATTTTCAGACAATTTAATCAAAAGATCATGAATAAACCCAGTCTCTGTTCTGGACTTGGTTTCGACAGGAATTCAGACATTTGTTGGGAAGCTCCACTTTAATTTCCTTCGATTATGGTTGTTTTCTCTTCACCTGCTCATAGGTCAGAACTAATGATCTATCTAGATAAATTTGTGTGAAAGCAGTGTGATTTATCATTTTAGTGGAGTGTGGTGGTACATACCCGTAATCCTAGTTACTCCAGAGGCTGAGTGAGGAGGATTGCAAGTCTGAGGCCAGCCTGGGCAACTTCATAAGACCTTGTGTAAAACAAAATAAAACAAAACAAAATCTGGGGATATAATTTAGCCATAGAGCAGTTGCCCAGTAAGAGAAAGTCTTGGGTTTGATATCCAGGAATGCCTTCCCAAATCATTAAACGTGGATATGTTTGTTTCTATCTTATTGGGTAGGTGCTGTGGTTCCTACACTCTTTAAATGTCTCCTAAGTTGGCATTGTACTCTTATTTTCTAAGCTTCTCCACCATATCATAATCTTTTCTAAGAACTATATAGTTGGGAAAAACCAATTCAGTTTTATAGATTAATAAGCTAAGGAACAACAGAATTAATATAACAATAGCTAAAGTTGTTTGCTTCTGAGTGTTTCCTGTTTATCTTAATTCACTCTCCAAATGACTCTGGTAAGAGGGTGTGATTTCACCTTCATTTTAAAGACAAGAAATAGAGGCAAAGGGAGAATGTAAGCTTGCACGCACCGCAGGGTCAGCACTGGACCTGAGCTCCACGCTGAATTCCTAATCACCCCGGATGTGACATCTTCTGGGAGCACAAGCTGTTCATTCATTTTAGTCTCTAATTTTGTGACGTTCCTTTTCCATGTATATGGGGCACTTTTATACTTGCATGTCTCTCTCACACACTTTTTTTAAGTGGACTTTCACTATATTGCCCAGGCTTATTTCAAACCCCTGGGCTCAAGCGATCCTCTTGCCAAAGCCTCTCAAGTAGCTGGGACTAAAGACATATACCACTATGCCCAGATCACCCTGAAGTTTTAAAAGAAAAGTGAAGAACAAGATCTTTCTGTCTGACCCATCTTCTTTCACATCATCCTTCCCAGAATGTCTCCACAGTCATCAGTAGTGTCAGCAGAAGAGCCTTGTGGAGGATGTGAGGGAGCTCTCTGCTAGCTGAAAAGCAGCTCATCGCTTGAGCTGAATGGAGGGAACAGAAGGGCCCTCTTCCAAAACCTGTAAGCTGCCACACTGGCCTCCACTTACCTGTCACCCTGCTGTCTCTGTGCCTCCTCCCATTTGGACCCCACCGTACCTCTTTGTTGCTCCACAAAGATCTGTTTGTTTGATCTTTCCATCTTCTCATTGTTTTGGTCTAAATTGAGGGACTGGGACAAGGTTAGAGGAGGAACTGCAGTCAGCCCCTGCAGAGGGCGAGAGTGGAAAATGCCAGTGCGTCTGCTGCCCTCCCTGTGTTTGTCAAATACACATTTCCTCAAAATGCCTCCTGCCTTCAAGCTTTCTCTTCTTGTGCCCTTTAAGATGACTGATGGCAGGCATGTCAATTGCTTGTATATCCAAGGGGGAAAGGTCCGTCTATTTGAAATTCATTTTGGTCATAGAAAGAGGTGATTGTGGCCTACTTGATGTGGAAATCCCAGATTTTGATTGAGGACAGGGTAAAAAAAAACAAAACAAAAAAAAAAACCCTTCTCACCTGTTTTTATCTTGTGGTCACTAGTTTAGAGCAGAGCACGGACATACTGGAAAGACATTATGGGAGCTCTGTTTTATGGAAACAAGTAGTGATTTTGATGCTAACACTCCAGATAAAATTTGCTTTTCTTTGAAAACCTTATTTTATTCTTTTCTTGGACTAAACAATAACATACTTTTCAGATTAGATTTTGAAGGTGGCATGCTTGTATTCCTTAGAATTTCTAAAATTGACTTCGGCTATGCCCATACCCTGAATATGACCACTTATTAGCATTCCTGCAGTGTATATATGCTAGGGGCTTGCATACTTTGAGAGGCCTAGCCCATGTCCTTGAGGAAGTGGGCTGATGGGGAGAAAAGGAGAAACATCCCAAGGCACAATGAGCAGCATTTTCAAAAGGAGGAGTGTCCCAGGAAAAAAGAAATTGGGGGTAAGTGGCTGGCAGACAAGGTACGAGATGACCATAAAGGGGGGACATGCAGCCACTGGCTGAGCCTGGAAAGAAGACCTGGGAGAGGCTGTTGGTGCAGAACAAACTGCATTAGCTTCATTTCTAATGTCATGGAGAAACAAAGAATGCTCCATACTCTATCCAGGTGCAAGATCTGTGCCTGCAGTTCGGTCACATCTTCTGGAAGAAGGGATGGGATGGGAGCACACCTGGAGAAGAACAGCTGAATAACTCTCTAGCCATCATCCAGAGGAGGGCTCATTAGATTGCAAGGGGAGGCGCTGGTGAAGACAGAGTCCAGATGGCAGATTCCACATGCACTTAGGAAGTGACACTGAGGGGACATAGGGACAAGCTGGGTGTGACAGGAAGGCAAAGCAAAGGGTCTTGGGTCATTTGTATAATAACTTGCCTTGCTATGCTCAGTTAAGACCTAATTAGCAAATCAAAATAACACAAATAGGCCTGAAGAAATCCAAGGCAAGGGTTCTGTCAGTGATCCAGGAAGCTGGTTCTGAGGCTTCTGAAACACATGGGTGTGGCCAGTTCCGCACATGGTCTAACCCACTCTGACCTGTTTGAAGATGGATATGTGCTCGTCCTAAAGACCTTCACACCCACAACCTGCCCTCAGGCAGCAGCCATTGAAAAATAATGGAAACTGTGGTACCTCCACGCAGAAGAAAACTAGCATTGTTCAGTCCTCTTAAATGAATGTCCCCTCACTCCCAGATGCGAGAGCATTGATGTTTTGTGAAAAGTAAAGACTTACCTTGCTTTTAAATGGACACACTTTCAGCATGGGACACTGCGCACTGGTTCTTTCTGACACTTGCACAGCAGCTCTCACACGTTCTCTATTATTCCATTCAAAAGGGGGAAATCCAAGACTTTTTACAGAAGGGGAAGATTCAGGATAACTTTTGTTCTGAGGTCCTGCTTTCTTCCTAGTCTTGGTTAATGGACAAAGAATAAATGCCTACCCAGCCTTCTTCAGAGACTGTCTCACTCTCACTTTAAAGCATAAAAATTTTTGACTGTATTTTTTCTTTTTTATTAGTGCAGGTTTGTGCTGCATAATGATTACGTTCCTTGTGGGAAACTGATTCATGTGCACAACAGATCGCAATTCCTGTTCATCTCATTTCCCTCCCCTGCCTCTTTATCTACCTATTGTTTCCTGTTATCTTTTATTTTGTTCTTTATATTTTGAAATAAAGGCATGATGTATTTCTGTGTTTCCTGTGCACAACTTTTTTAGAAGAGCTAATAGAAATGCTACCAATAGATGTATGTGTAAATGCAAGTTAAAAAAAGAGACTGATGCCTGTTGCATGATGTATCTTAAATGCAAATATCTTTCAAACCAAAATTACTGGTGTCTCTAAGGCAATGATATAAATAACCTGTGCTTACTTTCCAACTTATAAAAGAGATGGCAAGAGTAATGGGTTTTTAATAGTTTCATAAATACTGTGCCTGAAAATAGTTCATGAATATTTGGAGCTCATTTATGAAATGCTTACATGTTTCAGGAAAGTACACATTTTGTCACAGTTTAGTGGCTTGCAAAGAGTATAATCAATGGCAGAATGAAAGAGAAGTGTACAGTTTGCATGGGCATGCTTTTAGACTCAAGAGAATTCCTATTTCTAAAATACTGCAGTCCTGACATCTTAGTATATTTTCATGAAAGTGAGCCAGGACCCCCTGAAAAAAGCAAAAGGAGACAGACTGTGTACACTAGAAGACCCCTCAAATTCCCATTTTGGTTGCACATGGTTGGTTATTACATCTGAAGATGAAGTTTTTCTTTTCACTTCCGTTTCTTTTGTTCCAAATCTGTCCTGCAGAGCAGGCTAAATATGCATCTAGGAGGAAGCTCAGATTTGCCCAGGGCTTTGCAGCCTGTGTTAAGCGGCCCGATCCAGCACCACCAGCACTGGAGTTAAATCCTATCTGTTATGTGGGAGGTCAAGGAGGCGGTAACACCTTTTGCCTCTGCTTTGAAGTCACCATTGGTTTGGGGTGAGGTGCTTTGTGGCTATATTTTAATAACCATCACATATGATGCTTTAATTTTAGCCCCTGTGAAAATCCATCCTTCTTTCACTCTTATTTATTTGTTCTCAATTCTGATTCTAGGCAGCTGCTGTCTTGCTAAAATAAGTTGAACCAATGTTTAAGTAATTCTATGTTGAATTCATAGTGTGCTGGATGTTTTAAATTAGCCCTGAGTGTTACTTAGACCTCTGAATTTTTAGTCTAACTTAATATTTCCTGAAAGGTCTGCCAACAACTGTGGAGGAGGCATGACAACTTTAAGTGGTGGTGGAGGAAAAGAGTTTTCCTTCTTCTGATTCCAGATGAGCCCAAGAGCTGTCAAATTTCTTCTGGGGTCTCCTCACTAGACATGGGCAGCCCAGGCAACTGGTGGTTTGGTGGAAGCTGACTTGAAATGGAAGAATTTGTCTTCTAGAGGACATGAAGGTAAGGGTTAAAATTTGCAACCAAGAGACCAGGGCTCTTTATACACATCTTTAGGAAGCACATGCTTGCTCAGATAGCTGGCTTCGAAGTAGATGACAGCTTAATGTGTTGGTGAAAAATGACTTCCTTTCTGTTCTCTTGGTCCTGCCTCCTCCTCTCTGGCCTCAGCTGTGCTGAAGTCATCCATTTCCTTAGAAATAGTGCTTCGTTCCAATTACTTGGCATAAAGTACATGCTAGTGCATGTTGTATACTTGTAGGCTCCTGTTCTGTTTCCATCACTGACTTTTAAATTAAGAGCAAGGTGGTCAAGAGTGTGTGTTTTAGTCTGTTGCTTGGGTTTAGGCTTGGTTTACTGTGTGACCATAGCATTCAATGTCTCTGAGCCTCACTTTGGTCATCAGTAATATGGGAGTCCTCATAGTTCTTCCTCATGAGGTTGCTGTGAAGATTAAACAGCATAGCATGTTAAAAGCTTAGCACAGGCAAATTTAACTATTTTCATCATCATCATCATTGTCATCATCACTAGGAGCAGCAGCAGCCACAGTGCTATGGATCAGAAGGCCTTGCACATGCTAGGCAGATGCTCTACCACTGAGCTACGTCCCCAGCCCAAGGTTAGTTATGCTTACTTAATATGTCCTTTTGATAGAATATTTTTTCCTCTACAAGGACAGAAAGCCTGTAAGGTTAGGTTAAACCACAGACCTATCACCTTCCTTGTGGTGACTTAAGTTGCTGGAGAACCTAGGAGGTGGTGGCAGTAAGGGTCTGAACCGATTTTCTTCCCTTACTCTTAAGGGAGCTGAGAAACAGAAGTGTGGTCTGAGGCTGAAGAAAGCCAGATCTAGATTTGCTTCCCGTTTGGGCGTTCTGTGTACACATGCCTGTCGTGATCCCTGAATTCCTTTGTGACAGCTCCTGTAGTTAATGTGCAAGGAGGATTTTCTCAGGCGAGACTTACCCAGATCTGCCTCAGAAGAGGAAGCCAGATGACTTCTATTTTTGGCATTGTGCTTAGAAAAAAAGGGACAAACCACTTGTTTCAAGAAACTTTCAAAGACATTAAACAACTGTTTTTTTTAAAAGGGAAAGAGATCACTTAAAAAGGAGCCAGCCTAGAAGACCCTCTAATTTTTCTCTATTAGGATTAAAAAAGAGTGCCTCTCCTGCCCTCATGCTTAACACTACCCTCTTAATCTTTCTAATTGGTCTCATGGGATATACATACATGACAGACAGTATCCAGAGGAGAGCACTGCACTGTCCCATTGGCTTCTCAGCCAGGCCATCTTCTGGAGACAAACATGGCTGCCTTGCTGGGCCCTACTGCCCCTTAGGGCATGTGCGTGTGCCTATGTGAGGTGAGGAGGGCTGGCTGGTCCAGGCTGGGCTAGGAAGCTGCATCCCTGGTTGCTGGAGGAACAAGAAAACCGAGAACATGCTCTTAGTTTCTCTTCTTGTGGCCAGACGGGTGTGCAGTTCCTTCTCTGACATTGCCTTGTACTCTGTCAAACCAACACCTTACCTCTGATTTGTCAAGAAGGCTTAGCTGCTGAGAACTTGCTTCTGGCCTGGTTGTCTGTCCCAGGCCTGGCTCTGCTTTGGTCTGTAAAGCACCGTTCAATCTCACTCGCCTCTCCACAACCTTTCCTATTTGATGTGGAGGGCTCTTATTTTCCATCTTACATCTCAAGTATTTTTCCTCCACATTCGTTGGAGAATCTCTTTATTTGCTACCAGAATGCCCATTTTTCTTTTATTTTCTT